GAGGAGGTCTAGGTTGCTTCTAGAGTTTCTGTACAATAAATTATTATTGCTTCAGCCAACTCTGAAAAAAAGATAAACAGAAAAAATATGCTTGCAAAGTTATGGGGATTTGTGTTGGGTGTGCCTCTTACTCAAAAGGAGAAATATTTAAGTGTTTCTCAATCAATAAGATAATATTAAAAAGCCTATTGATATACATAAAATATTACTGGATGGTGGAAGGTTAGTAGGGTGGGATAGTGAGTCTCTGATAGGGACTGTCATGAGTTGAGTGTATTTTTAAAGGATGGTAGCCAAGCTGTGCCACAAAATGTGTTAGCTGTGTTTAAAATATCAGTTTGTCCTCTTTGTGCAGTAAGAGATGGCAGGGAGAGCAGCCCCATTTGAAGTTAGTTATTATGATAGGTCTGTCTTGGGAGATGTGTAGTTACACAGGGTTTATTTCACAATTGTTCCGAATTGAGAGCATTTAGAGCTCGATGCAGTGTTTGTCTTGATACACAGAGATGGACCCTCAGGAAAAGCAAGTTAATAGTAAACACAAACCCCAGAGTTAATATTTGTTGTCACTGCTATTGTTGATTGCCTAACAAATCTTTCGTGGACAGCATACATTCAACAGTTCCACACAGTAGATGGACACTAACCTGCATAACTATTTATGCAACTACTATTGTAAATTGGTACTTAGGCTGGGAGCTTTTATCCAGTGATAGTGCTATATTTCTAAAGGAAAACATCCCTTAATTAAAAACTGTTTTGGTTACTTTTTTAAAAAAAAAAGAACAAAAATTAAGGCACTCCGTTGAACAGGAAATGAAAAGAAAGGCTTGCAGTCTTTTTGGCTTCTGGAGTGTGTATAGGACTGTGTACAGGAGCTGCTCCTGACGCAGAGGTAAGGGTTAACATTGAAAATGGACTGGCTGCCTCCTGATTTCTCGCACATAAAGCCAAGAGAAGTTCAGGGAGAGACTTCTTCCCCCAGTAATGAAGCTCTCTGCCGCTAATGGCCCATGCAGACTCCCTTGGCTCCTCCAAATTAGAAATACTTTTGTGCTCCTTTGCTTCATTAACAGTAAAGAGAGGGAGATTGGTGGCTATTTAGGGCACAGGGAAATTGGTGGCTATTTAGGGCAAGTGAAAATGGCAGTAATTATGGTTGGTACATTCTTTTCATGGTGTTCTTTGACTTTTGATGTTCTTTTGGTGCTTTTCAGAAGAGCCCACCTCTGTCACTGTTGGCATTTGGCCTAGCAGGATGGGAGCTAGTTTAACTTTGAATTTTTGACCCCAGGTGATGGTCACCACAAGGCATCTTGCCTGCTGGGAGATGGGCCTTTTACATTTTGATTTGCTTTTCACAATGTGCCATAGGACCCTTTCCACTACCAGCTGTGATAAAGGTATATTTGATAACTACTCTACCCGGATTGCATTTCAGAAAACTGGTGCTGTGCATGTGAGCCTATGAAATGTCATTCCACATAGTCCTTAGTTGAGATGGATGGGGTGCCCTGTTATAATCAGGACAATATAGGAAGAAGGAAGAGGAAAGTCTAATTCAGGATCATAGTGTGCTGTGGGGTGGGGACGGTCTCTGGTTGGTCAAGTGGTTAGCATCAGATTATTGGATGCTGGTTGGAAAGAGAAGGGCATCAAAACTTAGGTACAAAAGTTCCAAAGACGTATAGAACTGAATTAATATTAGCACATAGTGGTTTTATAATATTTGAAAAGGGGGTCATTTTATGGGAGCCTGGGGAGTCTGATCTGAAAATTGGATCCTTCAAAAGTTACAATTATAATCTACAGAACCTGAGCTAAGAGAGATTACATCCTAAAAATTGATTTATAAATGTGATGCTGATAAAAATTTGAGACATAATTAAGTCTAGTCAAAGTGACCGGGAAGATTCTTCAGGCCACATTGATGGGATTAAGAAACACATTTCTGGAGCTATCTACCTAACTTATTGTACTGGAACATACCGAAGTCATCTTTTTTTTTAAATTTTCAAGGTGGTATGCATGATATCTTAAGAAAAGAGCGACAAAATATAGATTGATAAGCCAAAGTAAGTGACAAAATATAGGTAGGAGGCATTAGATGTGAACAGATGGATAGATTTGAAGAAGTGAAATTATTTTGCTCTGTAGTTTTAAAAAGAAACAACTATTCGTAAAAGTGGTTTGAGAGCACTTGACTAAGGTAGATTTATAAGTTTACAAAGAAACTTTAGCATGTTCCTAAACCAGGGCTTACTGCTTGTGTAGATTGCTTGTTTATGTCTAGGAGAGGTTTTCTGACCACCAAACCTAAGTGTTTAAGTCCTTTTAGCAAATAGGGCCCTACTGATAGGGCAGTTGACTGCATCAAGCTCTGATAACCTGTAATCAAACTGCTTGTCTCCTTTGATGAGTATGTTTGTAAGAAATCTCCTGGCCCTCATGTGGTTTTTCTGGATAGATTTCCCTGTTGGGGGGAAATGTCACTAAGCAGCCAGCTGGTAGGTTCTGATCTGTGTAGCACTCGCTTACTCATTCAGCTCATATTTATTGATACCTACTATGTGAGAGGCAGTTTTCTTACTATGAATTATTAAATGAAAATACAGATATATCAGTCAGTGTCTCCTGGATTAGGTATTATGAGTCTTTTTCCAGAGCCCATCTGTTTCTGGGAAGCCGAAAGGATGTTACTTTCAGAATCTGAAACCCTCAGCACCATTGCCTGGACTAGGGGAGTATCCCACTTTAGATACTCACCATGGTGCCTACTGCAGCCAGCTCATCTACCTTCTTGGTATTTCTTGGTTCCAACTCATACTTTCTTATATTGGTTTTACATTTATTTTCCAAAAGTCTTATCTTTTTTAAAAAATATATACTACTTGGGCCACATGGGGCCAGATGATCTCCTGGGATTCTGGGACTCATAGTTTCAGTCACTGGGGAGCCGAGATGACCAAGGACAAATGGCTGGAAAATACATGGGAAAATTAGCTTTTAAAGCTTGTCAAAAGATGAAAATTTAAAACTGAATTCCATGAATGGGATGGTCTTCTACTTGAGGATGTGTGTGCCCATGAGTGGAAGAAGGGACAGGATGAAATATGGAGGGAATTCCTGCGATGGATTGGAAGTTACAACAGATGACCTTCACGGCCATTCTGATTCAAAGCATTGGAGCTGAGGACTGCCCTTTACTTCCAGTTTAAACCCTGACATAGGCGGGAAAAAACCCATAAATATCCCAGTCCAAAGAGAGGAAGAAATCTCCCACCCTAAGATTTCTAATGGTTCAGTTAATGCTGAAAAGGGAAATCCGGGAAATTTTTTTCCAAATGCCCTGAGCATTTTTCATCCCTTTCATTGTGTTAGTGAATAGATGAAACAAACACATCTAGTCTTACAAGAAATATGTTTCCAGTGCTGCATTGCGGGGGCCAGGGCTCTGTGCCATGAAAGATTTTGAGTGTGTTTTTAAGTGATCAAATATCTTGGATAAACTGCTAAATGTTAAAGTAAGTAGGGCAGAATGGCAAACGTGGCGTATCTGAGATTTTTTTCTTAAGTGAGCTGTGGGTAGTTGTTGGGCTTGGGGATGGATCCTGATGACTCTACATAGATTATCTTTTTAAGTTTCACAGTTGCTATGTAAGATACATACCACTGTTGCCTCCATTTAAAAAAGAAAGGAAACTAATGCTTTAAGAGGGTCAGTCATCTGCCCAAGTTCACACACCTAGTGCATGCAGGCAAAGATTTCCAGTTTACACTCATTGACCCCAGTGCCCAAGCATTTAACACTAAAACAGTTTCCTTTTTTGTAAGATGCCACTGGGCTGTGAATTGGCTTTGGATATGCCCATGCCACACCTCAGTTTGAAAACTCAACATCCTCCTTGTCTCATTTCCCTCCACTTTGAGAATTTAATTATCTGCCTGCAGCAAAACGCCACAGTTAGAGATTCTCATGAAAACCACACCAAAGGGGGAAAGACAGTCATAATGTGTATTGAGTTTTTTTCACTTTTGCTTACTTTTTTTCTGTCCACTTTGACTTTCTTTTAGGGTCTTCGCATGTGGCTCAATCTATTTTTGTTCTTAAAAATCACTTTCTGGGATGGGCTGGGTAGTGTGCAGAAGTTAATAAATTTCTGATTCTCCCTTGTGTCCTAATACTTGTGTCATACTCTGCCTGTTTCCTCATTTGGTAAAAGGCAGTTCTTCTAGAGATGCTTTATGTAAATGAGGAAATTGGTACCAGCTGCTTTTGAGATTGTCCATCATGCATTCTTCCTTCATGCAACCAGCATGATTAAGAGTGCCCACTGTGTGCAGGGCCCTGTGCGAGGGGGAGGACACTAGAAAGGAGAAAACATCTCTTACTTAAAGATCTCAGAATCTATGTTCACAAACAAAGAAGCAAAGCCCCCCACACTGAGGTGCTGTAGGTGGGGTGAGCACTGGATATTAGGCAAGCCCACAGGAGAGGAGCCGGGCTGGCTCTTCAGTCCAGGGAAGGTTCCTAAAGCCACACGCTGGGAGGTTGGTAGCTTCTGACAGTCTAGGCACATCAGAGCTGAGTATCAGGCATTGCTCCCCAGAGGAATGTCTCATAACTATATAATGTGTTTTCCGCTGTCTACTACACAATTCTGGCCATGGACGTTTCTTTGTTAAAATAATAACATGTCCTCTTGGCCTATGTGAACTCACTGAAATGGCATTTAGAAGTGGCCTCAGGTCTGAGTGTTACTACCTCCAGCCCATTCACTGCCCCAGGGTAATGTGCAAATGATGCAATGACACCTTCCCACTGGGCGTTTTGACTCACACAGTGATTGTTAAAGCTTCCATAGGCACACAGACAAGAGAGCTTAAGACGTACATGGAGAGAACAGAAGATGAATTACAATTTACGGAGGAGGAGGACATCCGATCCAGAAGGGACGAATAACTTAAACCCCTTTCTTTTTCTTTTTAAATCACCCTAGAGCTAATGCTCCAGATGTTTCTTATGATCTAACCATAACTGACAGCAGAAATAAGACAACCACTGTCAATTATGTGTGTGACACACTGTCTAACCCTTATGGCTGGACGGCTTTGCTCTTGGATCAGGAGACCTACGCACTGCGATTTGAGACGCCGTGGATCAACAGATCTCTGCAGGTAACCTCATTTGATGATACGTTCCACTCCCCAGGGGTTCTTATCTTTCCTTCTGTGAAATAATAGTGTGCAGGTATTAGCGTCTTCTGGTGCTGACAGAGAAGGCTCCAGCAGCATTTTTGCCAGGTGAATGTAACCTCAGTACCAGATAGAGTGGTTGTTTTTTTTAACTTGAAAAATGTAGAATCTGTTTAAATCTCCCCTTGAAGGCAGAATGGTTCTGCCTGAAATCTTAACTTCAGTAATACAGTTGAAAACAGTTTCTAAGCAATCTAGAACTCTATTCTCATAGTATGGGTTAAGGACCAACTTAGGCCAGAGAGAAGTGTTCGTAGCCAGAGAAAATGTCTTAATGGAACATCATTACATTGCATACTGCCACCTTGTGGTCAAATAGTAACTTACACACGGAGGTCTGGGCGTCATTGGGGTTGGTTGAAGGAGTCAAGGGTTAGGGGGAGGAAAATAGAAACATCCATGTGGAAAGTGGATGCAAGTTCTAGAAAAAAAAATTTCCTCAAGCTTTTCTTTGTTTGTGCACATTTCTTTCCTCCTGTCTCATGCACATTCTCCCCGAAGGTGCTGAGAGCAGGCTTTAGGGAGCTAGAAGCTGCTATAGGGGTGCCATAGCTCTGAGAAATTCAAAGAGCATCTCATTTGATTCTCTCAGCATTGCTCTTGGAAAAAAGAGCTCCCTCATTCCCTTGAGGTTTCCATGAGAACGTTTCAGGGGATTTTCATAAGGTGAAGGCAGCGGAAGCTGACTGGAGATGGACACGCTGACTTTCAAGCCTGGCTTAGTACCTCTCCTGCTCTGTGATGTGGGCAAGTTACTGAACCTCCACCTGCCTCAGTTTCCTCATCTGTAAAATGGGGTGTTAATAAAAACAATCACCAGGGTTCTTTGAAGGCTTGAAAGCCTTGGTATGAATAATAGTACCTGAGCATGTAGCAAATGCTTCCATAGTGTTATCTCTGACTGTTGTAAGAGGGTGACACTCCTGTCCTCTCATCGCCTGCCTCTTTAAGTTATGGAGACAACAACCGGAAAGGAATTCTGAGCCTGGCTCTGTCTCTTCTAGCTGTTTGAATGGGGATGAGGCAATTTACTGGTCTGGGCTTTATTTTTCTTCTCTGTTGATGGGGGTTGTTAAAGAAGAAGAAGAAGAAGACCCTTAGGGTGTCTTTCAGTCTCACATTCCATGATTTTATGGCTCTAGTTATGAATTGATCATGGAGTGGATTTAAGGAAGCTCATTTCCCACATGAAAAGTAGTCTAGGCGTGACCTGCCCCTGTTTCTAAACTACTCCGTCTGTGTTCTCTAAACTCTAAAGCTTTTTTGTTGGGGGAGCCTTCCTTACTAAATGAGCACTATTGTTCTTTTCTCTCACTTCAAGTACTCAGCAACACTGGGCAACTTTGCTCCTGGGAATTACCTCCTGCTGGTGCACACAGTGGTGTGGACTTACCCTGACATCCTCATAAGGTGCGGGCGTCGAGTGGGGCAGTCCCTTCCATCTCTGCCATTGCCTGGTCAGGACCAAGGCTGTGACTGGTTCTTCAATAGCCAGTTGAGGCAACTCACCTATCTGGGTAAGTATAACTGGACCAGCATTTTGAGGGCACAGTGTCAGAAACCACTAGACATTTGTGCTATGAAGCCATGAGGAACTGAAGAGGTTAAATAGTTAGGCTCTGAAATCAGACTGCCTTGGTGTAGAGCCCAGCTGTAACTCTTACTAGCTATGGGACTTTTTCTCTAAGCCTCAGTCACCTCATCTGTAAAATGGGATGTTAATGGGATCTGCCTCAAAGGACAGGGAATTAAACAAAATACAACATGTAAAACTCTTTAGCTGAATTGGTTATGGTCATGGCTGACTATGGTCGCAGAGTCAAGAAATAGCAGGAAGTAGAAGGTGACAGAGAGAGAAAGAGACTGAATAATGGGTGAAGTTGATGTGGAAGGTGAGAGGGAAGGCTTTGGAAGGGAATCTGAAGTCAGGAAGGTGGGAGGGCATGGAGGGCTGATCCGAGGAACAGGGGCTGGGCTGTCTCTGCCTGGTGTCAGAATACACATCAGTTTGAAGGATCCTGGAGCCTCATTTTATAGGACCAGGAACACTACTGGGATCGCAGAGCAACTGAGATCAAAGAATTTCCTCACCTTCGCATTGTGCATGTTTCCCAGGAGCCCTATGTGTGGGTCAAGACCGTATATCCTTTTGGACTTCCTGGAACTCATTTCCTATTCCTTTTCCATGTCACAGCAGCAGTGGTCAGTCTGAGCACCGTGGTGTCCACTTATACCAACCTCAGCTCAGTGTGGTCTCGAAGGAGAATCTGGCACCATGGGTCTCTAGATGTCAGTATTGTTATAAATTGTTCTTAATAGATCCTGGTCAAAATTGGGAGACTTCATTAGAAGAGCAAACGACAAGTCCCAACCCCTGCCTGAAGCCAGACTGGGCACTAAGGATCTTGAGAGCTGGACAATTGTCCTTAGTCCCTTGTCCCTTCTTCCTAACCATTGTCAACTGAATCTGATCTATACTTGAGCCCTGGGACTCAAGCGCTATTAAATTTTAACAGCCCCAGAGAGGAGAGAATGGTGATTCCCTGGTGTTTTAAAGTCTTTGCCAAATGGTTTGTTGTATATCTTATTTGCACTGATTGTACCTTTCAAATTTTATTTCTGATTGATCCCATCATAAATGTAACCAAAAACTATAAAAACTCAGGATGGACCGAGATTCCTGACACTGTTTCACCACCAGAGCCCAATGGACTCATTAAGTAAGAGCAAATAGATGCCATTAACTTTATGACTGTTCACTTGATATATATTCAGGAACAAAATTTTAATTTAAAATTGCTCTTTTCTATTACTTGGCAGGCTTTCGAGGAGCCTGTCTTGTCCATTGGTCAGATTTTGTCCATGACTGCAAGTTAATTTGAATAGTTACATAAGTCAAGCATGATAAAGGAACATTTGTGACATAAAGAGTAAAACAAAAAATCAAGTCACTCAGCTAGATTGTCTCCCCCTTTGATAGCATTATTTCTTGAACTAATAGCAAGTTACACTGTTATACTGTATATACACATATATGGTGTAAATGCACGTCTGTGTAAGTGTATATATACAAATACATATACATATATTGGTAAATACATATATATCAGCAAGTATATGATATAGATGAATATTTCAGAATAAAACATTTTTATTAGGTAGATAGCCCTTAGTAATACTTTAAAAATTCTTTGTATCAGAATATCCAGTATCCCCACCTTCAAATTACAGTAGTTAGAAAGGGGACTGAAGTCACCGGGGTTGGTTGAATGTTTTATAAACTTGGAGACCCTGTTCCTTAAAAGGATTTCCAGTGCTCCAGGTAGTGGCATTAGTGGTCATTTGTGCCTTCTCTGTCCTCTGAGTGAATGGGTAGATAGGTGGCTAGAGCCACTTCTGTCCCCTCTGGGTTGGTACAGTGAGAAACTGGGGACCCGAGAGGGCCTGAGGCTCATACTTCTCCCTGGTGGTGTCTCACGTGGGGACACTGGATGGTGTGGATCTGGTCATGACTCGGGACATCCTCTGTATACAGTTTATAGCATCATTAGGCAGGCTAATAATGCCATAATAGGGAGGTGTTGTAGCTGGTCCCCCAACAAGACCCTAATAAGCAATAAAGTTCTGTTCTTGGCCATGCATTTTACATATTAATTTGTTACTTTCACTTAATTGTTTTCTTGGACCTTCTGACTTTGTAGGTCTGTGACTGGGATCATTTACATAAAAGACAATTAATCTAAGAAGAGAATATAAGTAAAGATCTCACAGCCTGTGTGGACATATTTCTGGGATGAGAAAATGGGGGGATGAGTGGAGAGCTGTGTATACAGAAGCTCCATTTTACGGTAGAGTAATTGCTTGACCTCCTTCAGGTCTAGAGTTTGCTGTCAGACTTTTAGGGGTTGTGTGGGGCAATCTTGATCCTTTTCCTGGCTGGCATTTCATTCAGAGTCCTGCATCACTGGCAATTGGTTGTGTTTCATTCATTTGTTGACCATTCTAAGTTCACAATCTTTTGTATTGTTTGTTTGCAACCTTACCACATTCTCCCAAGACAGGAAGTTAAAAAAAATCACAAATATCCTTATTTCCTCCATTTGGCTACTTTATATTTGATTTAAGATACCTGACTAATCTTAGACCCAGCTGAGAATGGAAAGATCAGAACCCAGGCATTCTAGCTCCTGGCTATGGATCTCTCCACTAGAGTGTGCTGCCCACTAAATAATCATTGGTCACTGACTAGATAGGGGCGGGTGGAGTGCTGGGCAGGGCGTAGAAGAAAACTCACCGATCGCCAGTGACAAGGAAAAATACCCCTGCACGTATAATATATGTTTTGAGAGCATTTCTCTTCTCTGCCAAGGCAAGTTCATCTTTGTTCAGCAATGTCTTTATGGAATACAGCTTCTTTGGTAAGCCTGTGGCCAGCTTAGGGTTTAGGGTTTTAATCAGTGGCTAGCTAGCTGTTTTACCTGAGGCATGGAATTGCAAATACTCCACACCTCAATGGCTTCATCTATACAAGGAGGTTAAGAATATTGACTTATCTCTTAGAATTGTGGTACAGAACACCCAACATCTTCCAGTGTAACTAGTATGCCATATTACTTTACGGCAAATTTTCTCAATAGATTATTTCTCTAGAATTTCCCTTTCTTTTTCCCCCCAGGAAGATTAACAATGTCACGTGCCTTGAACTCACTCTATACATCATAACCTTTCTGAAAGGGTCCCATTCTCTTTTCCTCCACTAGCTTTTGTGAGATAAATGAGATTCATGATAATATGACGTACATGATATATTGTTTCCATGATCGAAATTTAATACTGCTTAAGAAACTGTTACCCACAGAATAAAGCAACCCCACTCATTTAAAAATATCTTTTAAGGAGATTGGTTCAGGCTGTCTTTCGAAAGCCCCTGAGAAGTTTGCCCAAGGAGCCACTTAGAAACAGACCACAAGCAAAGTACTTGTGTGTTCCTGTTTGGGTTAGGACCCGGGTGGGGCAGTGTTTAATGTGATGCACGTTATGAGTGGCAGTTCTGAACTGTAACTTCTATGCCATGCTTGGGAAGGGGTGTGACTGTAGAATAAATGTTCTTCTATATTCTCAAAGTCAGGGTCAAAGCCAGAAAGTCCCTTTTTCCCTGCGTGTGATTTGATTCATTGGCTGCTCGTCTCTGCCTTACGCAGCCAGGTTCCCACTGCCTCTTGCCCTGCTGTTGTATTTTTTTTTCCAGAGATGTTTCAGTTCATGGTGAACTATTTTTATTTTTTAGTTACATTAACGCTATGAAATAATTAGCCACCTAATTAATCTGGTTTACAAGCTTTGTAGGATTCTTCAGCTGTCAGTCAGGCCCAGGCCGGAGGCCTACGTCGAGTCTCAGCTCTCTTGCCCATGTGATTCCTGTTGCCATGGCTACTGGCTACATCTGCTGACACCCCACTCACTATTTATTGCTTAATTAAGAATTTCACGCTCAGCCCTTATCTGCCTCTAAGAACAAGCACACACTGTTAAGAAATTCCAAATTTAGGCCCAAGCACAAGGAAAGCCTTTCTTGCAGGCTTGGCTGGATGGAGCCTCTCTAACGATCTTCTCGGCATCCCAGCCGCCACCCTTCAATCAAAAATCATTAAATGGGGCAGAGATAATGAGCATGTAGCATATCAAAAGAAGGATGTTTGCTTGGTCCAAAGGAGGAAAAGCTGCTAGGCCCCATGCTCAGCTCCACTTCAAAGGGAGATGAGACCCCCTCATCACTGGGGCCTGATAAAGCCTCATTTGTTCTGGGCCTGACTTATGCAAAAGGTCTGGTATGTCAGAGTCCCATTGCACAGACGTGGGATCCCCCACCTCTTCATCCACCTCCGCCCGCCCGCTCCCTGGTCTTCCGCACACTCGCACACTCGTGTGTCAGCACTGAGGCAGCTGGGCCCCCCAAAGCATCAGGCCGAGCGTATAATCACTGACTCTCCACTCACAATGGCCACTTGTCGGGGGGTGGCCAGGAGGAGGTCTTCGTCACAATAGGAACACAATTATTGCAGCTGCTGGGGAGGGCTATGCCTCTTCCTGTAGAAATATAATAGGACTTGCCCAAAACAGGAGGAGAAGGTTGGGGGGAGGAGGGAGGGCCGAGAGGGATGGAGGAAACAATCTTGAGTTGATTATTCATATTTGGACTCTTGGAAGCCCCATGCGGAACCAGTGGGGTTCCAGCAGCTGCTCGTGCACAGCCTTCTTCTAATAATTGTACATTCTGTCAGGGGTCAACTTACTTTTGACCCTGTCCTTTTATATCGGTAAAAGGCTCTTTAGGGCAAACTGTTGGGTTGTGGCAGGGTGCATTAAACACTCACAGCCCCTTCCCCTTGTTCCCTCCTCCTCCCAACCAGCAGCCGGTGATAAATTCATGTCAGATGCTGAGCCATTCACCGTTGCCCTCTCGAGTTCACACAGCCCCACGCACGCAGCAGAGAGGCGGCCAAGCCTGGATAATGTG